AGACTTATATAAAGGTTTTTCTTTGGAACGGAACAACTAGAATTCTTCTCGCGACTACTTTTATTCATATTCTTTTCTATGAACCGTTCTGGGTAACCATTTTCCGTCAAAGTCTTCTTCAGGAATGCGAGTTCTTCGTTAATGCATTCCGTACTGCATATGTGATGTATGCGATGGCATAAAGAATGGATAAGGTTTCTCTTCCTACTTAACGGAACCCAGCTATAGAAGTTGGTTAGCTGGCCATTCCATGTTTGCTTTCTAAAGATGGATCTTTTTAAAGAACCATTACTCGTTCTCATCAGACGTACATCGAGAAAAGGAATTGATTGGTCTTGTTCCCTTTCTAACGTGAAGTTTATGGAAGGGTGGCACGAGTTAAAGGTATGTAGAATATCATCTAAATCAATATTATTGTCACAAACAACAAACGTGTCGTCCATGTATCTCACGTACAGGTGGAATCGATTGATCATTGAACGGAGTTGGTCGTTTTCTACTTTTGCCATGAAACAGTCTGCTAAAATTGGACCCAATGGAGACCCCATTGCGATCCCATCCCTTTGTCTATATATTTCATTATTGAAACTGAACTGGACATTAAAAGTACAGCGTAACAATAATTCTTTCAAATGTTCAGTTGGCAAACCTAGATCTATATTGTTAGAATCAATATACTCACATAAATAACATATTGTTTCGGTTAAAGGTACGCTAGTGAACAAAGAATTAACGTCAAGCGAGAACATGTGTTTTTCGGAAGCATTAACGTCCTTAATACGATCAATAAATTGAAAAGTATCATGAATAGAATGTTTACATACTTGCCTTCTAACCGGTTCCAATTTTTCCGCTAACCATTTGGCGATTCTGTGGTATGGAGAACTTGACATGTCCAAAATAGGTCGTAACGGTAAACCCAGCTTATGTATTTTCGGTAGTCCATATAAGCGCGGGATGACTGAACCCATGGGACGCATGTGATTATATAAATCTTGGGTTATTATCCCCTTATTCTTAAGATTTTTAACAACATCTGTTAGCTGTTTTTCGATTTGTAATGTTTTATCAACTTCTTTAGGTTTGGAGAATTTAGTACCATCCTCTAGAATTAACTTCATTTTATCCAAATATTCTTTGCGGTCAAGTAGTACTACACCAGCTCCTTTGTCAGGTTTACTTAGGATTAAATCCTTATTTCTTTTCAACAGTATTAGCTGATCCAAGTGGTTCTTAGTTAATAGGTTATTCTTACTACAATGTGCATTAACGAATCCATGACTGCAGTCCAGTAATGTGGACTTAAAGTGCTGGAGATTTTGTGGAGATGTCGGCATAAGATCATGAGTTTGATTTGATAGATTTTCGAATTGTATTTGCGTATGAAGTCTACTGGTTTTGGAGGTGCTGTTACAGAACTTGGGACCCAATGATAAGGCCTGCATTTGGACTGGCGAAAGTTTAATAGAAGAATGATTAAATACATACTTTTCTGGATGTTCTGGAAACTTTTTAGTCACGTCTACGTGTTGCAATGTTTCCAAGTGTTTACGTTTAGCTTTTTGTGACTGTTTTTCTGTAACATTAGTAACATAGTCCTCAAATTGTTTACGTTCATCTAACGACAATTCAAACAATGCGTGACTTCTTAGAGATATGTTGCGATCTAGTTCGACTTTTCGAGATTTGATAGCATCGATATAATTGAGTGCATGACGTTTGAGTGTTTTTGCATTGGGATGAATATGGTTTCGCCTTAATGCCTTCCAGAAACGTTTAGGATAATCATTATTTTCGATACAGCTCAATTTTCTCGAAAGCTGTATCGAAAATAATGATTATCCTAAACGTTTCTGGAAGGCATTAAGGCGAAACCATATTCATCCCAATGCAAAAACACTCAAACGTCATGCACTCAATTATATCGATGCTATCAAATCTCGAAAAGTCGAACTAGATCGCAACATATCTCTAAGAAGTCACGCATTGTTTGAATTGTCGTTAGATGAACGTAAACAATTTGAGGACTATGTTACTAATGTTACAGAAAAACAGTCACAAAAAGCTAAACGTAAACACTTGGAAACATTGCAACACGTAGACGTGACTAAAAAGTTTCCAGAACATCCAGAAAAGTATGTATTTAATCATTCTTCTATTAAACTTTCGCCAGTCCAAATGCAGGCCTTATCATTGGGTCCCAAGTTCTGTAACAGCACCTCCAAAACCAGTAGACTTCATACGCAAATACAATTCGAAAATCTATCAAATCAAACTCATGATCTTATGCCGACATCTCCACAAAATCTCCAGCACTTTAAGTCCACATTACTGGACTGCAGTCATGGATTCGTTAATGCACATTGTAGTAAGAATAACCTATTAACTAAGAACCACTTGGATCAGCTAATACTGTTGAAAAGAAATAAGGATTTAATCCTAAGTAAACCTGACAAAGGAGCTGGTGTAGTACTACTTGACCGCAAAGAATATTTGGATAAAATGAAGTTAATTCTAGAGGATGGTACTAAATTCTCCAAACCTAAAGAAGTTGATAAAACATTACAAATCGAAAAACAGCTAACAGATGTTGTTAAAAATCTTAAGAATAAGGGGATAATAACCCAAGATTTATATAATCACATGCGTCCCATGGGTTCAGTCATCCCGCGCTTATATGGACTACCGAAAATACATAAGCTGGGTTTACCGTTACGACCTATTTTGGACATGTCAAGTTCTCCATACCACAGAATCGCCAAATGGTTAGCGGAAAAATTGGAACCGGTTAGAAGGCAAGTATGTAAACATTCTATTCATGATACTTTTCAATTTATTGATCGTATTAAGGACGTTAATGCTTCCGAAAAACACATGTTCTCGCTTGACGTTAATTCTTTGTTCACTAGCGTACCTTTAACCGAAACAATATGTTATTTATGTGAGTATATTGATTCTAACAATATAGATCTAGGTTTGCCAACTGAACATTTGAAAGAATTATTGTTACGCTGTACTTTTAATGTCCAGTTCAGTTTCAATAATGAAATATATAGACAAAGGGATGGGATCGCAATGGGGTCTCCATTGGGTCCAATTTTAGCAGACTGTTTCATGGCAAAAGTAGAAAACGACCAACTCCGTTCAATGATCAATCGATTCCACCTGTACGTGAGATACATGGACGACACGTTTGTTGTTTGTGACAATAATATTGATTTAGATGATATTCTACATACCTTTAACTCGTGCCACCCTTCCATAAACTTCACGTTAGAAAGGGAACAAGACCAATCAATTCCTTTTCTCGATGTACGTCTGATGAGAACGAGTAATGGTTCTTTAAAAAGATCCATCTTTAGAAAGCAAACATGGAATGGCCAGCTAACCAACTTCTATAGCTGGGTTCCGTTAAGTAGGAAGAGAAACCTTATCCATTCTTTATGCCATCGCATACATCACATATGCAGTACGGAATGCATTAACGAAGAACTCGCATTCCTGAAGAAGACTTTGACGGAAAATGGTTACCCAGAACGGTTCATAGAAAAGAATATGAATAAAAGTAGTCGCGAGAAGAATTCTAGTTGTTCCGTTCCAAAGAAAAACCTTTATATAAGTCTGGAATTTAAAGGTGACCGAACATCGGACGTAATCAAAAACCGTCTAACAACAACTATTAGGAGAACATTTAACGCGGCAAAACTGCGAATATCCTTCACTAGTAGAAACTTATTTTCTGTATCCATAAAAGATAAGCTTCCGCGTCTGGTCGCCTCCATGTGCATCTACCAGTTCACCTGCTCTTGTGGAGCAAGGTACATTGGCCGTAGCCAGCGCTCGCTTTCAACTCGGATACGAGAACATATTCCAGCCTGGTTCTATAAGGGTGAAAGGAAAGCAGTTAGGAGTTCTATTCTTGAACACCTAATTGACTATAACCATTCAACAGATCCACAAATTGATTTTAAGGTTGTTTATATGATTCGTTCAAATCTACCCAGATTTCTTCGTATACAACTTTTAAAAATAGCCGAAGCTCTTGCCATCCAGGAGCTTAAACCAGAACTATGCGTACAAAAGAAGTACGTCTTATCGTTATCGTTACCTTGGCCTTAATTAGTTTGATTATCCTACCATTAATGTTATTATTATTATTATTATTATTATTATTATTACTGCATTCCCCCTTTACTTATGTCTTATATTCTCATTGTTTTATTCATGAACGCTCATCATATCAGTTTATTTTTGTACACCTCTATGACCTTTAATTATTATATCAAAAACATTTTAATCATCTTATTATATTCACCAAATCCATTGTTATTGTTATTATTCATATTACGTAATCTAGTATTATAACCTTTATATTAACTGTGTTCACATTTCCTCACGGAATTAGTACTTTTACAAAAACAAAATTTTCATATATATACGATTGTACAGCTTGATAATAAATTCGTTGAAAAGAGATCCCTTCGCTGAAATTCGTGTTTTGATTATCAATTTACTATCCAATTGATTATTCATATATTGAATTCAAGAGAAACATCTTTACACCCAATTCTTTGAAAATATTTAAAAGTATGCAAATCTACAACATGTAAACATTCACCTTAAACTAATGATACCTGTATCGTTTATCATAAAAAAACATTACTCTTTAGAACAATTGAAATACAGACAAGACAAGTATATTTATCTGTATAGTACTCTTATATTATATTGCACAAATGAAGTAGATTGTAAAATAAATTCATACCTAAATAATGTCATGATCCACACATACACACATACATACATAGATACATAATATAATGAGTTTATATATTAATGATAATGGATAATTGGTGATAGCGATGATAATGATGAAGAGATTAAAGAAAAGTATATCAATATAATATATAAATAAATAAAAAGTAAGATTATGTATCACAATAGCTTCCTTTAAGAAAAATAAATAAACAAATAAAATTATCACTAATAATCAATAACAATCAATTTGTGCTCTCTTCAATCAATAATGGGTTATCATCTATTGATGAATAATAATTGATTGGTTCATCTAAATAACATATCATATTTGGTGTTTGTAATTCAGTAACATATGATAGTTGTGAAGTATCATTATCTAAATCCAAATATTGTTTTTCATTATTATTATTGTTGTTGTGGTCTACCTCGGACTCGTCATTGTCATGACTGATATTATCAGTAGTATTAGTATTAGTATTAGTAGTAGTATTAATATTATCATCAATAAACTGGAAAAGAATTTTAAAAAAAAACATTATATAACACTAGGTAATAAATAAACTAAGCAGCTTTTTCATCCTAAAATGAAACTACTCAACAATGCGTATTCATAATCCCAAAGAACTCTAAGTCTCACAGTGAGCACTCAAACTTTGGATTACTGAGTTGAGATATTGAACTTCAATCGATTATCAATATTCAGCAATTATTTTCCAATGTTTTTGGTGGGTACCTCTGTTACACCCGATAAGGTTGATCACGGTTCCTAACTGGAACCCCGAGAATCACCTCCTGAAATTACTTCCATACTAGAACGAAATAAATATCTAGTGATTTATGATTTCCAATGGTCAACCAACTTAAGTCAGACAGTGATATAATAAATCAAACGCCGAAAACATTACAACTATAATGACAGGTTATGAAGAGCAATATTAGGTATAAGATTTAGAAATATATGCAAGTAGTTACCCGTTTGAGGTTGAATTAAGTTACCTAATATCTCAGGTTAAACCTGTTAGGAATGTCCTAGAAAACTTGGTTTGTTTTATTTTACACAATCTGAATCTTTTAACTCGAAGAGAAGGAAAAACTCGCGATAGACCGACCATTTACACTCACTAATATACAACGTTTGCCTTCCTGTCGTTGGTTATCCCATCAACTTAACGCTAAAATTCTTTTATTTTGCAAGGCTAAAGATGGACTACATACAGAACTGTATCAAGATCTAGAGCTCCTGTGGAGAGAGTAAAAAGCTCTCTCCATGACAAAAGATCAATCTATATCAGTTAATGTCCATACAGAACAGTTATGATTAAATTGTGTTATATCGTACATCGTTAGAATATGTAATTGTTATATCAATCATAACGTAATGATCTCATTTATTACCTGCCGGAATATATGACATCAAAAAACTTAGGTTTAACTCAATTACGAAAAAGGAACTTAATGATTGCAATGAATAGTAGTATTAACTACTAACCTTCCGTAAAAGCAAACCTTTCAAAACTACTGAAAGACACGAGGGACTCTCTTCGACTAACTCAGTCTTACGTATGACAAAAGGCACTGGTGACACCAAAAAGCAATCATGAAGTACTGGAAACTGAGTAGAATACGATTTCATGGTTAAGTGAGTAGACGAAATATCAATGAAAATTTGCGGAGGAAATGACTAGATGAAAGACAGAGGCCCCTCGATTTTTGTGCGAAATCCAAAGTGTAGTGATAAATAGTTCTATGTAAGAACTAAGCAAAATCTATCAATATTTAGTAATTTAGACGCTTAAAATAAAGAAATATGGAAATAGTGAACATTAATTATGAATTAGTGAGGGTATATTAAATATCCTTGATATTTGAAATAAAGAACTGTATGACTATTTATCTGCACCGCTAAAATGCATCCCTCTATTCTATTTTCAATGATTAGACCAAGACCTAAATCTAACACCTGAACTTAAACAGAACTCGTAACCCAAACTTGAACTTAAATGTTAATCCCAACTTTATTGTTTCCCGAGGTTTTATATGATTAAATATTCATTGATATAACCTGTATTTTGATTGGCTAAAAATTAGCTTTATTTTCTGAAAGTCATTTTAAAGATCAGTAAAGATTACCAGCAATATAATCTGTCCCAAAAAAAGGAAAAATTGATGGGAAAAGTGTGAAATGTTCATAATAATAATAATAATAATAATAATAATAATAATAATTCCCAGATATCAACTATTCTTAAAAATTAGTAGCAAACAGTCTACGTATAACCGCCTACTCTATTCAGATTATTTGACAATTTCTAAGACCTATAAAAGGTGTGTAACCCTTAAAGTATACCACACCTTCAACTAAATAAATATGATATTTGAATTTTGTAACTCAATAGTAATTAGCAAACTATCCAATCATTGTTGCATAGAATCTAAGTGAATATGAATTGGTTGTGGACGCCAGAAAAAAACTTTCTTATCATATTCAATGATAATTTCCTTGTGAATAATTTTTTTTTTAAATTCACGTATATAAAGAAAAGATGGATAGTGGGTTCCAGTGGAACACAGGACGCGCGTTCCGTCCTATTTGGGACTCGTCAGCTGGATACACCTGCATCCCAGAGTTGATGTTCACTACGAGACTAGAACCCAGTACCGTTTGCTTCAAACGCCATTGCATTATCCACTTAGCTACTGAGTCCCGATAGCTACCTGTAATGGGGTGAAGTTTAAATTCACTTGGTGTTTTTTTACTTGTATCTTCCAATTGCTATTTAGGACTGCAATTGATCAGTCTCATGTTGGTATATGTGCATCCTGTGTGGATTGCCTTGATATAGCCTTAAGTCACAAGCTATTTAAGCAAAGACAGATAGTGGCTAGCAGTGGAATCCAGGACGCGCGTTTCGTCCTATTTGAAACTCGTCAGCTCGATGATAATGATAAAGTAGAATAAGAAATAATAGTCCATATAATTGATATTCAATATCTACAATGTAACCTTAGTTGATTTGAAAATTTCATTGATCAAAGTAATATGACTTAATGAGAGAGAAAAAACAGACAGGAGAAGAACATACCAATCTTATGTGTCATGTTTGATACAAAAATAGACTATAAGGGAAAAAACAATTATATAACATTAATCAATAACAATGTCTGATTACATTTTGTTCATATTTAGGATCGAAATTGACACTTTAAACAGAAATAATCTATTCGTTTTTAGACAATAAAAGTATTAGGAATCGCAAATTTCAACACACAATTAGTATTCTTCTTTATAAGAATATAAATTTGAAAGAAATTGACTAAGAGATGATTATAGGCAATGTATATCATGCCACACCTCATATTAAAGAAGACAAAGATTGGATATGCATCTTTGCCATTTTGACTAGTTCTGTTTTATGTCACTCAATATATTCAACCAGTAGTGATAATAATCGCCAAGAATCTAACCAGGTAATCAATATCTACCTACATGACTCAATTCAACAGTTGATTAGGAGAAGAAATCTCTATGAATCTGTAGAATAGATAGATTTATTTATAATAGTGTAATCTAGGAAGCTTGCCTAGTTTTATATGGGACGCATCGACTGAATTTGCCTTGATCCTAGTGTTGATTTTAAAATCAGGACGCGGATCTAATAATTCCCACTTCAGATAGCTAACGCATTATTCACTGAGCTATTGAATCCAGACAACTATTCATTTGTGCAATGAGTATGATACATAAATTTTGTTAAAAAGGATGGAGTTTATGTACATCCAGCTAACAAGACCTGAAAATGACAAAACATGGGTTTTGGATTACATTGATGACCACAAGTTCATCAATTTTATAAGAACTACTGAAAAATGACTATATTGAGGGAACCCGCATAGGATGCACACATCATAACAAAGATTGATTAAAGTCCAGTCAAGATTACCAAAAAAATGATAGTCCGAATCCTTTCTAATTTATGGATATATATTAAGGAGATGAATAATATGACTTGTTTCTGTTATCAGCTTTAAGCTAAATTATTTGTGCAGACTAGTGATAATAGCTACCCAGTTACCTAAACTGCCAAATGCTTCCAGATCACTAAGCTACTGCCACTCCACATCCTGATTAAATTAGAAGAATACTTGGTTGTCTAAGGTCAGTTCGTGATGTAGACGATAAAATTTAACAATCTTCACAAACTCTTATTCTCCATTCGTGAAGTGCAAACGAAATATCAGGAGAGAAATTCGTGTAAATCGACAAATCGTCTACCGCCTGAAACACATCACAATTTCTTTAAAATTAATCTCTGTTGATAAATTCCTAATATATCACCTAATATCACCTAATTTATTCTGTAATGATTTAGACTATCTCATTATTGATGGTAAGATTTGAAATTATAATCAGTCTCATTAACATATATGTATCCTAAGCGAATTAATCCGATTTAGCCGTTATGTCACAAGCACTTTTAAGCAAATAGATTAAAATTTATTTCTATTTCACAAGCCACCAGCACTCTGAGCTCAATAGATAAATGGATAAAGCGTTGGTATTCAAAACGAAAAGTACTGGGTTCGAGTTCCGGAGTGGAAATGAATTCGAGAGTGCACGATTTGTAGAACAGTGTTCAAGTCTCTACTTTGTACATGTCCATTACTTCAAATAAATTAGTTTCACTGAGTCAGAAACAACGTAGAACTTCGTACGTACGTACATCAGTTCGAGTTACCATACCACATTAGCACACGGATACAATTGTCAATTCAAATCCCGTAGTAGTAGAGGTAGTAAAAATATAAGCAGTAATAGGAAAGAGTAAGGTTTGAAGATGTTATTCAAAGAGTATAATACAGTTAAATAACTTTGGAAAGAAGAAAAAAGGGACATGAAGAATTCAGAAGAATAGAATTTGGGAGAACACAAAGACTGGATGCACCTACACCATTATAAACAATTTTGAGCCATGTCATTCAAGGTCTCTAACCATCGGTTGTTATCATCTCGCGGATCCCAACTAAGTAGTCTACACTTACCAATATGACTTAGTCCACTTGTCAGTGACTTCATGGATTTGTGCCATATTTTGGTCTGGATATCATTATATCTAAACATAGAACTACCCACAAGCATATAGATATACATACAGATATATAAGTTTGATCAACTTTAACATGGAGTAAGAATAAATGAATATTCAATTTGAGAAGAAAACAAAACAGGCATAGAAAATAGATAAGTAAACAAATAAGTAGTATGATATATTTAAGATAAAAATAATAATAATAAATACTAAGATACCTCTAGAATTTGACTTAATGGACTTGAATTAAATTCTTTTGATAATTGTTGATCTGTAGTAGTATTCATTGATGATGAATATGATAAATTATTTGGTGAATAAATAAATTGTAATGATTGATAATTGGATTCAAATAATGGTGAATTTGTGTGCGTTTGAACTGTTCACAAGGTTTTGTTTTATTTTCAATAAATGAAAAAGAAAGAAAAAAAGAAACAAACAATAGAAGTATAGTATCTAGTAGTGTTTTTTGATTTGCCTAATGGGTTAGTACTGTATATAAGAGAATTAACTGACACTGAAGATTTTATTTCAATTATCGGAAGCTATTAATATATATGTCTTCAAATGAGTACGCTATTGTAGCGTATTCCAACATATTGAATGAAAGAAGTAAACAAAATAGAAACTAAAGCTTAAAATGAAATCTTCAGTGATAAATATCTTCTTACATGCAACACTGATTCACTAAATCAACAGAGAAATCCCTGAGAAAGATTAGAAATCCAAAGTACACATACATTCTTCTAAAATGATTCTCCGTTCACTATTTATTTATCATTTATTTAAACACATAAATATAGGTACAAAGAGGAACCAAATAGATATGCGCCACATAAATCATTCTATTTGTGTGACGGTTGGGATATTACCCCGATGCCCAAACCGAAGCAAGTGGTTTTCTTAGGAGGACACACCCGGAGCCTTTGACCTAAAGGTCTGATCCACGAGGCAGTGGAGCAACGTAAGGAGATGCAGTAACATGGTAGCCAGTCACCAACGATAGGTTCATATACCATTTGTTCTTTCAGGATACTACAGTCCATGTATTTCAGTGGTTTGGAATGAGGTTTTCTAACTCCACTGGGTGAACTCTCTGTGTCCATCAACTCGGTTAAAGTACCGGACATTCGCTTTTCGTTCTCTCAATTTCGTAAACAACACCGCCGCGAGAAGGAAATGAGTAGGACTTCCCTGGCAGTAGTTTCATACACGTGGACATGTGAGAGCAGACTCTCCCCACTCTCGGCCGTACCAGGGCATTCGGGTCTCTCCGTTCACTAATCGAAATGAAAGTATGAAATGACATGGTAGGGGTCATAAGAATATTAGATAATTATCGCATTCGAAAAACCATCTTATTTGTTGAAAGTTAGCTCTTTATTGGACATTTAAAATTACGTTTGAATTCATTATAGAGGCAAAGAGACCCTTGAAAGTTTTATTCTCCCTTTTGAAGCTCATCTTTATTAATATGCGCCTTTTTGATAGTCAGCTCCCAAATGCCCTGGTACGGCTGAGAGTGGGGAGAGTCCGCTCCCCCTCTCGAAATGCTCTCACATGGCCACGCGTATATAGCCTCTGCCAGGGAAATCCTACTCACTGCCTTCTCGCACCACGGTGTTGTTTACGAAAATGAGAGGACGAAAAGCGAATGTCCGGCGCTTTAACCGGATTCCAAACCAATGGTGCACATGGGCCCCAGTATTCTGCCGGGACAAATGGCGTATGAACCAATTTTCGGTCACCGGCTACCATGGGACTGCATCTCCTCACGATGCTCCACTGCCTTGTGGGTTAGACCCTTAGGTCAAAGGCTCGGGGTGTGGTCCCCTGAGAAAACCACCTGCTCCGGTCTGGGCACCCGGGCAGTATCAGAACCCACACACAAATATGAAAAATGATAAATTTTGACGGTCTACCTTACTGATGTGCAACCTTTTCAACCGCATATTTTTCACTCTTCCCCTAGATAACCACCCTTTTGTTCGTGGCCCTACAAATGGATACCCTACTGATTGGTCAGAGTGTTACCAACCGTTATTCATTACATTTTTAAACTAATTTTACCAATTTACCATATACTTAGGTGTATGTCACGACTATTGTATGCGAACTAATGATACTACTCAACAGTCTAAACGGAAATAAATGGAGTTGAGTTTGAACTTATGATCTAATAGTTGAAAGTTAAAGGCTTAAACCACTGAATCGCTGGCATGAATTACTTCAAAATACCATGATAAATTATTCTGGCTGTTCAATACTTTTTAGTAAATAACTCCAAATAAATCAAAACACTGTATAATATTTTTTTAATTTGAAATTACTCAATATTTACTTCATGTTGAAAGAATGAAAAAATACAACTCAAACTGATATTGTTCTAGAGCATAAGAAATTTTTTGTTACACTTACCTATCGACAAAATATTTTCATCATTAGAAACCTTTTCTGATTGATCTACCAGATGAGATGATGAAACTTCATAACTAGGAATAATACTTGATGGACTTAACATAGTCCAACTACCACTACTATTATAACAGGGACTAATTATTGTCTGTTTCTGATAAAGTATGTAAATAAACGAAATGGATAAAGACACACATTTGTATGAGAGAGAGAGAGGGTAAAAGTTAAAAAAACAGAAAAGTACATCCATCGTAAATCTACAAGCATTTCCCCAGTTAATTCCATCACATGAAATTATGATTACTTTCTATACGACATTAAAATCTATTTACTAAGTGTACTTAACAATTGTTAACGTTGATTTTTAAGTGGTTTTTGTTTAGTAGTTTGATTAATCACCATTGACTTATAAATCAGTTGGATGTTTAAACCATACCCTCTCTCAATCCAATTAAGTTTCGGCACCTAAAGAGTAGTATCACTAGTCGTCATGCAAAACAATGTACAGAAATTTGTACATGATTAATAAGCTACATGAACGATCAGTTGAGTGATACGGTTCCGGACCCGCCAGAGAATTTCAATTTCCTTAAGGTTACATAAGCATTCCTTGTTGGAAAGTACCAAGTAGTATGAGACCTAGGTTGAATTTCCAGCAGACTACATTCAACCACCTAACATAAATAGTCCACGGGATGTTGAGCCACTTAGACCACCAACTTGATCGGCAAAATTCGACCGGTACTAAGAAGGACTAGACAAACACGATATTGGTCACTACTTAGTGATCAATCAATGGTAAACAATTAAGTTACACCCAACCGACATTTAAATTAAATTTACGAAGAAATAGTCAGAATTTTCCGGCATCTGACAAGTTATTAAACGAAGATAAACTATGGATACCAAATAAATTCCTGTGTAAGCAGTAATTTTATAATGATATTGTAACTAAGAGAAAACAGAAACACACGTTCACAGCATATCAAAACCGTATAGACACAGCTATATTTTACCCAATTAAGGTGTTTTGATGAGATCCAATATGGCAATCTCAGAAAAAAGCTTTGCAAACTTCACGAGAATAAATATTGGCAATAATTATGAAATAGCATACATCTCAAATTAACAATATTTCAAATTACCTCAATCAATTAAGATCATTTTCAGTTATACGTAAAGCTGACAGTTCTATAACCTCCCTTCATTACAAATCGTTAAGAATCACAACAGCTAGATATCTCACTTACCAAGTACAGACATGTGTACTTGGCTTTGAGTCAAGTTTTATGTAAGGGCTAGTGATACTGACAAGCTTCTCAAGCCGAAAGAGGAGAAGCAGGACTAAAACTTGAAATCCACTAGTTGAAAGTCTGATGCTTTAACCAATAAACCTTTTGATTTTATAAATATACACAGCAAATGTTGAGATCTTCCTTAATTAGGGGAAAAAACTCGCCGATAGAGCATTTACCTTATTTAAACTGGTTACTTTGGTTAAAGAACGAAATCGTGTAAGTGCCTGTTTAAATAACTCATCAACAATTAAATATCGTAAATTAGCCAATCTCTCTTCACTAGTTAACTTTGTACTTTTATATTTATATCTTGTACAGTTGTTAGCGGAATTCATCAATGGGAATGAATTCCGTTTAATAGATGTTTCATTTTTTTGACTTGAATGATTATTATTTGATAACTTGGATGAACAATTAGTTTCATTGCAACCGTGTGGCAAATGAGATCCACATGCCTATAAAATGAAAGTAGCGTAGAAAAAGAAATTTGCAGATACTCATCTTATCGCTTGTTAATAAAATAGGAATAATACAGAACAATTTGGCTAAAACAATAACTATGCACTGAGACAGACAGATTTCATATAACAAGAACATTGTGACCTGGCTTTCGCACCCTTTTTAAACATAGTAATAATGTATAATTTTATTTGCTGGGTTTAGAGTTACGCTGAGGTCTAGTGATACTATATGGGTGTAAAGATCGAGGTAGATCGAACGTAGTAATCGGAACCCAAGTGCTTTCAACACTAAACCACTATTTCAGTCAAATCCTATCCAAACTAGTATTTCACGCTCTGGTAGACAGACCAATCTAAAAAGTTAGTCAGTCAACTACAACACATGACCAGGCACATACATACATCGGTCAAAGTTGCCACACCTCATTAGCACAACAACATGAACACCAAATTCAAAAAAGTAGTTACTTCAATGGTAGAAATATATGAAAGATTGTATATGAGAGTATAAAACGGAAAAAAAGAATTAGTTCGTAGAAAGAAGGGTATAAATTAATCTTAATATGATGGGGGAAACAAAGAGTGCATACAGGTATGCCACTGTAATCGATTCTCAGCCATTTCACTCAGTCTCCAACCGTTGGTTACGGTAGTCGCGCAGGCCCCAACTAAGTAGTTTACATCTACCAACATGGCAAAGAATAGAAGTTAGCAGCCTCAAGCACTGATGCCACGTTTTGGATTGGTTGCCCCTAACTTTCCTCCAACCATCTCCAACACTAGTCAGCATTGAGCGTCGTGGTAATCGGTGTTCTAGCAAACGTAACACGTGGCCCAACCATCTCAGTTGATAAACATTCCCAACCTCATCGACTAATTTACCATCATTCCGTAATACCCTGGCATCTAACCTCACTATTACTTACCCAGTGGTCCCAGCAGATGCTGGCAATATTTCTAAGACATCTGTGATCAAACACTAGTAACTCACGAGTTCCTTCTACCATTGATAGCCACGTTTAGCAGCCATAAAGTAGAACAGAACGAGCTATAGAATGCTAATCTTTTTAATTAATAGTCGGATATCTCGCCTTAGACATAGGTGACATGAGTTGGCAAAAGCCAAACGAGCTTTCTGAATCCCTGCAACGACTTCGTCAGAATCCAACCATAAGGGATGATCAGACTTGCAAGATAAGTGAAGTTGTCGATGTGTTCAACTAATTCACTCCCTAATAATATGAATTCATTTTATTTCGTTAGGTTCTCATCAGCTGCTTACAACCTATAATATTTAAAGTCAACGTTATTACAGATATTGACATGTTTATTAATACGAGGGTGATTATAGATGAATATGTGTATCATGATGTAGCGAAGATTGTGATAGAGTTAATAAGGTCACAAAAAATGTTGTTTCGGATAAATCAAGTTTGGGGGAAAGTTCCAGAACATTGGAATAGTGATCATAAGTCATGGAGTTAACAAACATTAGATGATTGTGTAGTGAAGTAACTGAAAACAGATTATTGATAATAAAGTAAGATATTAATTGAAATCAGTCAGTTATGGATTGAATAAAAATGACAACGATGCAATCAAACTCCAGAAATAGTTGAAATAATGAACGACGTAATAAATAAGAAGAGGTGTAACGCTACCAACCAAATAAAGATTTATTACTGCCTCGTTTTGGACACCTAGATCTAGTTTTAGACGTTTGGTCTATATCACTTCGATAAATTTCGAAATATTGGAGTTTGATTGATTGCTAATAACCTTGAAAGACTTCAGTGTATCGAATTGATGTCCTGTGTGAAGAAGATGTCTTGGGATGGCACTGCTGAATGCTTTTAATCCATTTGACCTTAAAAGATTCGGAATATTTTCTTTGAACCGGACATTGGCTCTCCTTTCTGTCCTACCGATGTAACTGTTTTGGCAGATACATGTAAAATTGTATACACAGTTGGTGGTAACACGAATTAGTCAACGATCTAAGTATCGTAAGTCGCATAAAATATATCCACTTTATCTAAGGTCTGCAAAGCAAAATATGCAAGAATTTCCACCTAACTTTGTCAAAGACTCTATCACAGGAATACCTATACTGTGGTTTTCCGAAAAACCCCGAAAATTTCTCTATAATCTATCAATAGTGAATTTTCATATACTCAAAATACATGCCAACAAAATCGACACAGAAACTCATTTTGAGAATTTATTTGATCAAATTAAAGAGTTGCACCCAGTTAGTGAAGAGGAGAAAGGCTGGTTTAAATCTAAACTAGTTGGTATCGCGAGCCATTATCTCGTTTCACCCACACTGTAGTCTAAACTTTTACCCGAAAACCGCTTGACAGCATTACGAAATATTAAGCGAAATGATGATATAATGATATTACGGTCAGATAAAGGTTCAGGTGTTGTTCTAATGAACACAAAAGATGAAGTCCATTTTGAGTGGCCACATGAGTTAGAAAAAAGTAACAAGGACTTAACTGGTTCAACTCAGAAAAGAGTCACGAAAGTACTCAGGGATCTCCTGAGGATGATGATTGATAATTCCAATTACAATAATCTGCGACCTCATGGGTCTCATTTGCTCCACATTTATGGTGTACCAAAAATACATAAACAAGGTATTCCTCTTATACTTACGCTGTCAATGGTCAATTCACCCTACCACAAAGTAGCACGATGGCTAGCGGGTAAGTTAGAACTAGTCCGTCAACGTTTAGCCACGTATACATTGAAGGATTCATCTAGATTTGCTGGCAGAGTGAACCACACAAATATTGCTGGTAATTTTTTATGACCATATTAACTCTATCAGAATCTTCGCTACATCATGATACACATATTCATCTATAATCACCCTCGTATTAATAAACATGTCAATATCTGTAATAACGTTGACTTTAAATATTATAGGTTGTAAGCAGCTGATGAGAACCTAACGAAATAAAATGAGTTCGTATTATTCTGCACCAATATTCGTTTTTGCTGTCTTTAAGATAATAAAGGGAACTACGTGTATGAAATTTAACGACTAAATTGACTAATGTTTTAGCTAAAATCTGGGAACTGAATGGAATCCCATCTGACTGGTCAAAACCATCCTGTGGTAACCATAGAGGGATTAGTTTGACTAGCATAGCATCTAGAATACTAGCCTCAATTATTATCGGTAGCCTAACAAAGACTCGTGAACTGCAAACGCGAGAAAATCAGGCTGGTTTCAGACCTGGTTGTGGCTGCATCGACTACATATTCACCATTTGTCAGACCTTAGAACACGGGCGTGCTTATCGGCATCCGACTATGACAGTTTTCCTTGACTCTTTACTCGAACACTACCAGTTACGTCAGGGCTCATGGCGAACTGTCATCTGATTTTGCAACCTCAAGTGGTGACCGTTAAGGTTGTTCACTATCCACATTTCTGTTTAATTACGTCATAGACCCGCTGCTGGAAATAACGTCCTCGTCGACTGAATTATCGGGCATTGATCTCCTACCAGGAGATCCACTTATCGACTTAGAATACACACATAATATAATCCTGTTTGGTGAAAACGTTTATAAGATGCTAGGTCTTTTGGTGGCACTGAGCAACAATGCCAATTGTTGCTTCAGGACTGGCCTGCGTCAATATCTAAACTAAAGATAGGGAGTGAATTAATCGAACGCATCGACAACTTCACTTATTTTGGAAATCTGTATCAACTTTATATGGTTTTACTGAGTCCAGCGAGGCGCAAACCAAATGCGTGCTCCTATTAGAGAGTGATCATGGTCTAAATACGTACTACAGAACGAGCGGCAGACTTTAGCGAGTACCTACAACGATGACATGGCAATATTGTCTATTTGAGTCTATCGTTCGTTTGGTGAAGGGGGTCGCCATGTTCAACGATAACTCTTCCTATGCTTAAAATTAGTGATTGCTAAAAAAACGATTTTCTGAGCATAGTTGCAGCGGAAGTTCACTATTATCTATTCGCTCAGCCGGAATACTTATAGTGTCGATCACTATGTTAATCCCATATAGCTTATTCTAGCATATGGACAGGCTGATTTATCCATTCTTCTTGAATCACATTTCGACCTTGTTAATTATTGACTTATCAACCCTGATCGTTTTTATATGAGCGTATATGTGTGTATATCTTATTCTACTCAACACAGAACTGTAACTTATTTTTGGGTGAATATGAGTATTGATTCACGCTTAATTAAATGAAGTTGGCTCACACACCTTCTCCACCGCGGGTCATTCCGCTTCGCTTTCTTCTATTCGTTTCATCCCTTTCATTTCCTGTCCAGATCAGTGAGTGTACAAAATATAGGTATTCAAAAATCTATTCTCGTATTCGACTTATTTAATTCTGTTATTCAGCAACGCGATTTAATTCGATGAAATATGCGAGAATGCCCGACATGTGAATTTTGATGACAACCAGCATACAATCTAATTGGAGTCAGATATAGGGTCACAAAATACTAAAACACCCACCTAAACGTCTTTCTGTTTGGTTTAAGCTACCTATTTGGGCATTAAAGTCACTTGCTACGAGTACTATGTCCGAGCGCTTAGCTTTTTGAAGAAGTTCAGAAAGCTTTCTGTAAAAGTCATCTTTTACTTCATCCGGGCCATAGTCAGTGGGAGCGTAGGCAGACAAGATATATGTCCCTATCCTTCCGACTTCTTACGGAGCCATTTAATCGAACGGCACAAAGGCGACTGATAACAGGGATCCATTCTAATAGTGCTTATTCTGCCCTCGTACTCAGTCCTATACCTACAGCCGCCAGCTCACGAGAACTAGTCATCAGGTCGCCAGATAAACGGAGGGTGTATCTTGTCGGCTCTCCGTTTTGGTGAGGTGAGATCAAGTAGATGACCACAGGATAATGTATGCGTGTTTCGGAGACACAGAATACATCAATGGCACGAAATTCTAGGGTCTTGAATAAAGATGCCTGCTGGCCGACTTGATACAGGGTGAGTACGTTGAGGACTCCAATGTGTAGTTCGGAACGAGGTTTCAGTAGACCTGAGGCAGTGTTGGGCACTGGAATCATCGGCAATAGCGACACTTGAGGAGGAAATAAAAAGGGAGTTGAAAATCAAGGTGGGAGGAATAATGGGGATTGAAGAGAAAAATTGACTATGGATACAGTGACCTCGGGTGTTATTAGAGGTGAGAGGGCAGTTTTTACTTTTCGGTTGCCCACAATGTGGAAGGGTTCCTCTTGTGGTACCTGAAAAGGAAATTGGGATTGAGTCGGTCCTAGTGGCCTGAGAGCGTGACCCAAGTGCCCAAGGGACAACTGCTTGAGGCCGGTTACATCCGACCTTTTTGAGAGTAATTTTCGTGTAAGTTCCGTGCTTGTTGGGACATTACGGCCGGAGACGGAAGTCTGTGAGATAAGACGAGGTGTAGATTTTTAGGGTCGACCTATTCTAACTCCACCCTTCCTTGTGGGGGGTCAGCATCGCTGTTATGCTGGTTGTCTGAGGGAAACACCTTACTGCCGTCACATCAAAAAGTCGGACAACAGATATGCTACGACCGTCGTTTATGCTTTATTCAAACTTATAAATGGGAAAAACCGTATTTAATAAAAGCCTCTTTGTTATCGCTAACTAATCATATGTGTAGTTTACACTTTTTCCCGAGAACAGAGCATTTTGATCTCCCATGGCTTTTAGGACAACAGAAATTAAGAAACATTTGTCGCTTTCGCAGAACTTTATAAAACCGAATAACCTAAGCAAAAATTTCTACAGTTAAGTCAGGAAATGCAGATGGGTACGAAATAACTAAAAAGCTCTCTGGTGAACACCTAAACCACATAATGCATAACGAATATCCCAATATTTAGTATAATACCGTATAACAATCCTTCCATCGCAAAGATGTGCTCACAACTAAACACCAGAAAAAATTTGATTTGCGAAAAAATTGAGTACATCTAAGCACCAAAAGTATCATGTGAAAAACGAGATCTGTAATTTCAACAGAGGGCTATTTTCCGATTCTCTAACCTAAAGGTTTAGTCCCTAAAGCAGCAGGAAAACGGCCGATGCCGTCTCCTGACAGTCGATAATCAAAAACAGGTTAACTCACTATTAGGTCCGTGACGATCCTGGAGACCACGTGTTCAAAAATCAGGGCTTCTTGACTTTCTTAGGCGGATTTTACTGACCCACCAATCCGGTTCTAGAGCTGTATTCGCTATTTGTCTTCTAGACTTCATAGACTATGCTCCAGTGGCCTGAATGAGGCGAGTACGATTTCCCCGGAGAAGACACTTAACTCATGGGCGTACGAGAGCATTTAATGAGGGACAGGACACTTTCCACTTTTGGCTGTGCAAGAGTATTTGGGAACTACAATTAATATTTTACAAATTGTTGACAATGATTTTAGAGACTATTTAGGGAATGCACTAGCAGCGAGGCTAAGTAATTTTTAGTTTAAAAAGGTAACCTGAGATGATTAACTGAACGAGAAAGGTTTTTTGATGTAATGTAACTTTGGTTTGCCACATAAACGATTAACTGCACAACCAAAACAAATGCATCATTTTTAGAATATACCCAAACCAACCTTGAACTGAAAATGTTTAGTGTAGTGAAAATTGTTAATTACATCTCCATCATCTGTATCACCATGTGAGCTGAAGTAATATCTTGATTTGTTGTATACTAAACTCAGTGTAATTTCCGCTCCAGTCAGACGATGTAGTTCAAGCGCTTTCTTAAATAAACCATCTCGACGCTTGCGAAAAGTGGCCTAAGTAAGAGAATGATACTTCGCAACCAATTCTTACCACACATTTATTTTTATCTTCAATTTTTTGGACTTCAATTTTTCTGCGTCCCATCACTTATGAGAATGAAGTGCTTTGCACCTGAATAAATTCACAGCCATGTTTTCAGACAACCACTTTACCTAAAATACCAAAAACTATTTCTATGTAAACTGGTCTACAGTGCATTTACACGCAATTATGAAATAATATTAATGAATGATGGAATAAGGCTCAATTAGACAGGCGGAAGTTTCAGTACAATTGAAACACCGTTTCATAAATTCTTCATCTTGAAAATGTCTAGCACGTTATTAGATTAAAGGGGTTTAGCATAATGATCAACATAGTCACCAGTGTATATAACTACAATAAATGAGCAACTATCCCAGTCAATAAGACGACAACACTAAACAGTAAGTAAAATGGAAGGCAGATGCATGAAAATCAGAGCCGTCCAGCACCTTATAGGGATCAAACTGATTGCATTAATCCGAAGGTGTTGAATTCACCTAAATCTTTTACTGTCTTTAAACACTAGTAGTAACAGCTATATCTAGTTACGAAACTCCCTTCATATTGCCTGATCATAAAGAATATGAGGCTTTGTAAATAGGCTATAGAAATCGTGGAAAAACAGTAGGAATGTTCTATATAATAAAAAATAATAACACTTAAGAAGCCGAGACCGCCATGGCCTTGAAGTAGGACACGACCTTGACTATTCCAAATGGTTCAAATGGTTGTGGACGGAATAGAAGAAGCTTTCGCTTAACAGGCTTCCGTGTCTAGTAGCAGGGGATCACCAAATCCTCCAGGCAGGAACCTAGGTATGTTAACAATAAAAAGGAAAAGAAATTGGTAAATCATAATGTGATGCTGTCCTTGGTCCTTAAGAATAGGTCAAGTTGCCTCTTGAAGGACTCCTGAGAAGTCGCTTGGACTAGCTCGGCCGGCAGCGAATTCCAGCTTTTGACAACTCTTAAGGAGTAGAAGTTGTGTCTACATTCCGTCTTGCTATGTTGTGTTTCCAGTTTCTGGGTGTTACCCCTTAGGTTATTATTCGAACTAAGCTTAAGTAGGTGTTTAAGAGGATGTCCAGAAGTGTTAAGAATACTGTAAGCCATTAGTAAATCACCTCTAAGACGCCTATATTCTAGTGGGTAAAGGTCTAGTGAACGGAGGCGTTCTTCGTAAGGCTTAGATTTGAGTCCTCGAACTGATTTCGTGGCTCGCCGTTGGATACGCTCCAAAGTGACCTTGTCCTTCTGGAGTGAGGGAGGGAGTACTATGTTTCCGTACTCTAAATGGGGACGGATAAAACTATTGAAGATTGTGTGGAAAGTTCGTCCGTCAAACTGTCCAAAAATGCGCTTCAACGTTACCAGTGCAAGGTTTGCTCGGAAGGCATTTTTGTCACAGTTAGCGTAAGACTTTAAGTCATGGGGTACCAGGACTCCTAAATCTTTTTCGACTTGGGATACTACTAGAGAGGAGTTTCCTAAGTTGTAACTGTAGTTTGCTACATGTCGCAGATGGACTACTTTACACTTTGAAGTGTTAAAGGTAAGTCCGTTATCGTCTGCCCAACTTTGAAGTCGCGTCAGATCCTCCTGAAGTGCCTGTGTATCGTCTTGGTTGCGTATCTCTCTCCAAAGTTTCACGTCGTCGGCAAAAAGTAATAAATCTGACGTTACCTGTTGAGGAAGATCATTTATGTAGATCAAGAAGAGAAGAGGCCCTAGTACTGAGCCCTGGGGGACCCCACTAGGACATTCCATAGCCTGAGATAAAGTGAAATTAACCCTAACCTTAAAGTGTCGATTTTTTAGGTATGAAGTAAGCCAATCGATTAGAGGTGGTTTGATACCTAGTCGTTTGAGCTTGTTGATAAGACATAAGTGGTTAACCTTATCAAAAGCTTTTGAGAAATCAAGGTAAATGACGTCAACCTTTCCCTTGCAATCGAGGATGCTTGTCCATTTATCCACCGCAGTCAGAAGGTTGGTTATACAGGAGTAACCCTTCCTGAAACCATGCTGTTGGGGTGAGAAGAAATTTAAGGACAGTAGATAGTCATTTAAACCGTCGCATATCAGGGACTCCATGAGTTTTGAAGGTAATGACAGAAGAGCCACCGGCCGATAACTTGAAGGTTCATTGCGTCGACCACCTTTGAAAATTGGTGTGATGTGAGCCAACTTCCAGTTTTCCGGTAATTTGCCTCGGCTAAGCGAGTGTGAAAACATCACGCTAAGCGGCGTTGCCAGGATTGAGGCTGCCTCCCTCAGTATGGCAGGATGAACCATATCCGGGCCAGGAGAAGTGTCAAGTCTTAAGTGCTGCAATTTCCGGAACACCAAGTCAGCGCTTAGGTCCACTTCAGAAAGTCCTGTGGAGTTGTAAAACGAAGCATATTCATTTTCTTCTGGTGAGCTGAACATTTTGCATCCACCGTGGAAAAGAGATCAACCTTTCATTCCTCGAACTTTACATCTTATAACGTGCTAGCTATTTCCAAAGCCCTGGTACTATCAGTGAACCGCAACAGCTGTTCTTTGTGACAGGCTAGTGTAAACCAAGTGACTTCCATGTGTTGGCTTCTTTATTCCATGAGATTCTAGTTACAACAGAACTAATTTTAGTCCGTTTTTTTAGTTTTTTTACGAGTTTATAATGCGGTGACCTACTTTTATCAAGAGAACGCGATTGGTATAATTAAAACAATTATTAAAACCAGTCTTACCAGTGATCCTTTTACTGCACTTGTTTGTTCAACTGTACTGAAAACATACATTCCTCCGTTGTCTTTGTCCATGCACGCTCTCGGTTACGCTCAGCATTTCCACTTGTACTCTTTTGGCACGATCTCGGTAAGGATGCCACAAGTATTCAGTGTTTGACAACGCTTTTACCAGTAACACCTTCTAATATAACTCGTACACACCAAGAGAAATCAAAAGACAGAATCGAGGAGATCAGAAGTTGTATTTGACGACTGCCAATATATCGAAATTGTCTGATCTAATCTGGCTAGAGTTTGCAGTAGATGTTGAGCACGGCGTTCCCACACGTGATCTGGTGCGGATGCATGACCGAGCGCCTTCAACTAGGTGAGTCCATTAGAACTAATGTGGTCAGCATCCAATGTCGAAAACTTACAGAGCTATTTATTTTGGGGATTTATTTACCGCTACATCGGTATTCTTTCGATACCGCAAGATCGCCAACAAAGACATCTTGCTGCAACCTTCAGTTGCTTTCTGATATTTGGCTTACGAAGTAATCTAACGCAGTAACTAGCACGTAGTCTCAGTGTAGTGGTGATCATGCTCGCCCGCGACTCGACGTCACACTACAACACTACAATATATCTTGTGATCTGAGTGAGCGAGTTTGTTGTAGGAAGTTGAGGTTTCTGGAACTAGACGCTAACACACTAACAGTCAGGATGTTGACTGAATGCAATGTAAAGAGTTATGAAGAGAAAATTTGAGTGACAAGAGAGGACGACTGTCTCAAGAAGTAAATAAATAAACTGATCAGTAATTCAAATGATTTGAGACGACTGAAAGGTAAAATAATGAGATGATAGAAAATTATTGATACGTGATGATGATAACAGCAGATAATTTACAAGATGTGAATAAGGTACAGCTGGTCCATGTGGGGGGATTTTAGTAAGCCATGAGTTATTATATTAACCTTAGGCCTCCCTTTAAGGCCATCCACTGACGGGCTTGTGATCACTTCTAATGGTGAAGCATTCCAATTGAGGACTATTGTTAATCATCAAAATTGGAAGTGTACCGGAGTTTTCAATGTGTAATTTCATAGTAGTTGCCTCGAGGTGCTAGGTATTAATGTTCTGGTACAGTGTTAGTGTTTTGATGACCATGTGTATTTAATATGTTTTGTGCAACCATCAGATTGCCTCTCATTTCCCTTTAGCTCAACGAGAATAGTTCCAGGCATCTGAGCCTTTGTTTGTAAAATTTGTTTTTTAGCCCTATCATCTACTTTGCTGAGCATCTGTGTACTAAGATTCGTATCTCTTTTAAAGATTGTGAGCTCAACAATGACATGGACGTTGAGCTGAGACCTTGAGTAGGTTTTGAAGTATTATAAACAAATCTAGGGTGGTCACATCAATCTGTTTCGGTAAAAATTCAAGATTTGCTTTTGCTGAATCTCTGGTGTAGACTGAGCTAGTGTTCAAGCACCCTGTAGTTAGTATTTCTAGATCGAGCTCTCAGGAGACAATCAGAAGTGCGTTTCTGTGGAAGACATACATAAATCACCAACGTAGCTTATTTTTGTCGAATGATTGGGGGCCTACTCGGGTTAAACGAGAATGGTGCGACAAATCAGCTATTTTCGAAGTCACATCTCACTGTCAGCACCCAACTTGGATTACCCTTTCGTCGTATCAGGGTACAACGGCTGCTTTGAACACCGTATAACACAAACGACGTTATTACAGAAATGTGTTGGTGAGAATATGTTCAAGGAAGAGGGCGACCACCATCTCTTGGGCCAGTCCATGGAGTGCAATCAGTTGACGCGTGTTGGTCGTCCCTGATCTGAATGGGGATCAGTGAACCGTTGTCGTCGTTCCTGCACTCCCCCACTTGATCAATGACCAGTCCCTCCATTACCTTTGACAGTAATGATTGCAAATCTATCGGTCTATAGCAGGATGGATCTTTTATATCTCACTTTATGAAGATCAGAGAGAGGAGCCCGTGTACGTTCGAGTCATTGTGACCCTGGTGAGCGCCTAGATAAGTCACATGTCGGAATGCTGATGGCTTTCGTGTACTGTTTTAGAATTATAGGGCAGGCGTAGCATCAAGTGGCTTTCCTGAGAGCAGGGACCTTAGTTTTCTCAGCACTAACGCGGGAGTTAGCGCCATCAGCTGGCACCAAGTTGAGAAGTGTTTCGCACTTGTAAGTTTCTGGTTTACATGGCCGGAAAAGTGGCTACTGAAAAATTGTGGTGATATCGGTCCTAACCACACAATCCAAAAAGCTGGATATTAGATCACTGGAAAAACAGATATTCAATATTAACACAGAGAGGAGGTAACACTGGTGAGCGTGGGAAAATTCATTCGATAAAACGGCATGAATCGGCCTCTCAGACGTTGTTATTATGTTTAATTTATTGTTATTCACATTAAATATATTATTCTGTCCGCAGCCCAAATGTGTTCTTCAGAAGTACTGAGTATCATATTGTTGATTGTCACATACGATGGGTCAGTGTAGACAATGATGTGACTTTCACGTAAGATCTTATAGATTAGGCAGTCACGTCATCACAAACCTACAATTTTAGGATTAGGTAGTAGTACCAATAACGAATCAGACCATAGTTCTATACTGGTGAGCCCGACTAAAAAAACACAGCTTGTTATTAGTTGTCCTTTTCACTTTAAATTAACTGATTGATTTTTACTTACGTTGACCCGTCATTCTATCCGTCCTTTGATACATGCTCACGTGCATTGTTAGAGTGTGAAATTGATTAGTACTCATAGCATACTAGCCCAGTCGATACTAATAGCTTGTAATCTACATTTATTGTTAACTATGATGGTTCACTAACAAGCCTTAGTAGCATTTACGTGCTTCAGTTAAATAAACATGCTAAAACATCGAGTACTAGAAAACATGGCCTTTAACTGACGTAAATTGACAATCGCTAAGGTACTAGCACTCCTAAATATTTTTCAACTCGAGATACTTCTATAGAGGAGTTTCCTAAGTTGTAACTGCAGTCTGTAACATATCTCAGATGGGCTAATTCAGACTTTGAAGTGTTAAAGGTAAGTCCGTTGTCATTTGCAAAACCTTGAAGTCAAGTCAGATCTTCCTAAAGTGTCAGTATATCCTCTCGGTTGCGTATCTCTCTTCAAAGTTTCACACCTTCAGCAAAAGGTAACAAGTCTGACGATACCTGTTGTGGAAGATCGCTTATACAAATCAAGAAAAGAAGAGGCCATTTTACTGAACCCTGGATGACTCAGTAAGACATTCAACATCTCGAGAGAAAGTGACGTTAACCCTGAACTTGAAATGTCGACTATTTAGATATGAAGTGAGCCAGTTAATTAGAGATGATTTGATACCCAATCGTTTGGGCTTATTGATAAGACGTACATGTTTGACCCTGTCAACTGATTCTGAGAAGTCAAGGTAAATGACATTAACCTTCCTTTTGCGATCAAGGGTGGTTGTCCATCTGTCCACCGCAGTCAGCAGGTTGGTTACAAAAGAATAACCCATCCTGAAACCATGTTGTTGGAGTGTAAAGAAGTTTAAGGACAGTAAATAGTAGTGTATAGCGTCGCATATCAAGGACTCAATAATTTTTGAAGGTATGGAGAGAAGTTGAGCTACTCATCGAAATCAATCAAATATGTGACCTTGAGGTCATGGTGACCGCCTTTTATAACCGGGTTCGTAGTTGTGGTGCATAAGAGCACTTCATGACCTGTAAAAGTAAAATATGCGGTTAAGGAAAAAAAGAAAATTACAAAACGTACGAGAATCGAATGGGTTTTCTATGGTCATTGGCACAATTGGAGTCTAACAGATTAACCATTTGATGGGTTCAATGAAGGTACGCATGTTATAGTGAGACTATATCTCTTAAAAATACCCATAAGACGGTTAGGCTTGCATCTAGCAAGCGTGCAAGTTCTACCGGTCATGAGTATCGTAAATATTCGACCAACGTTAGTAAATACTGCAATCCCGGCCATTGCAGCCGTTGTAGTCTATTGGTCGAGTGCGTGTGGAGTTGATGTTTTCGTTCATGAATCTCGAAACCATACCATGTTCGCTGAGTGTAATTTACTCAGACATAAAGAAAAATAACAATGAAAGGACGAATTAGTATGCCAAAGTGTCCCAACAAGTCACATTAAAACACTGTCTTAGTTGGTGGTTAGCTACCTAAAGTATGAGCAGTACAAGTGTTTTCTGACCATACTAATAATAATCGAAAATTAAAGCCACATATGTAGTAGGTTTCAGCTATACGATAAGAAAAAGAACACATATGATCTGTTATTTAAATAAAATAAGGTTTTATGAAACATAACTATAGTGATATGTAAATAAGAACCTTCGTCTAAATTTGAACGAATAGTTTCACAATATTTGATATGTTCCAGAATTTCGTATGGACAACTGACTATAACTAGTTTAACGTGAGCGTAGCCGTGAGAGTCATGTCGTAAACTCAATATTGCAGTGTGTCCTACTGATGTCGACACATATAGGTAGCATGTGTCATAAATCGAAAGTGAGATGTCTGAAGGCAGAAGGTTAAGAGGATCGATGAGAAGAGAACGAGAGCAGAAAATGGTTGGTGTAGAATCAAAAGAACAGTGAATTCTGAGACAATTGATTGGCATTTTACAACTGAAGTGTTTGCTATATGGTTCTCAGAGTTTACTAAGATGTTTTTAATATAATATAATAGGAAAAGTAATGCCTACACAAAATAGGGACGTGAGTGAATACTTGAGCTCTATTGTTTTAATACATAGTAGTTTGGGGTCAACTCTTAACTAGTCAACCTATCTTGTTACATGCGTTCAATCCAATTCACTACGCTGTACTTTTAATTTCTGTTTGCTGCCCTTAACGATGAATTCGATTCACACATATTCGTTTTGCAGTACGTTTTGGTTGTCTCTAGCTCTTTGTTGTTGACAATGTGACAATCATTCTATGATGCTGATGTTGTTCTCCTATGTTCGCAGCTTCTTAGACTCGTGTTTCCTATCTTATTCTGGTTTCGTCATTTTACCAAGCCGTCCTATAACATACACTTTCAAACTCGTGAGCACAAACCTGATAGTTGGCATTCGATAACAACTATAAAAATGACGAGTTAATAAATAAAGACTATAACGATAAAGTCGTGTGAAAATTCAAATAATTTGCGTCAGTTAATCAATAAACACTAACCGCATTTTGTTCCTGAACATTCGAAATATAAATCCCAGCTACCCTCATATATAATTGTCGACTTAATCCGAATTGAGAACAACGGAATAAAACAAGTCAAATGAAGTTTGAATACGTATATTTCGTAAACGCACTGGTCTGAACAGACAATCAGGCAGAAGTAGTGCGGAAAAGAAAGAGGAGAGAGTAAAGCGAAACGAAATGACCCTCAGTGGAAAAGGTAAGTGAGCCAACTCGATTTAATCGGGCGTCACTTAATGTTTGTAGTCAGACCAAAAATAAGTTACAGACATAATGAATAGGACATGCAATCAACAGATATACGATCACATAGATACAGTCAGGTTAATAAGCTAATAAGTGACAGGGTCAGGATGTGGCTTGGGAGAAATGAATTAATCGGTCTTTCCAGAAACTAGGATAACCTATGTGTACAGCAGTGTATTGACGAGCGGTAATCAATGAGTCGTGTTGTGTACCTTCACAAAACCCGGACAACAAGTTAAAGGTCGGGCCATTACTTTTTAACAATAGCTTTGCGATCAATAATGGTGATTGCAAAAATCATGGGAATCAATGAAAAATGCAAATAATGGCAAAAACCGGTTAAAGAAATCAGTCTATTGTAAGTATTCTCACGAAATTTATCTATCTCGTAACCTTACGCAGGTAATATTTTATCCGTAAACCCATGTCATAAAATAGTGATTACGCCTGTAAATTTGGTCTGTACCGGCCATGTATTAAAATTAATCTTGACACCATTCATATTCCCATGTATTCGAATTTACCTCCGTGTTGTTATAACCGGTGTATATTCTTACGTATCAACCTGAGTAGCACATTGCTGTAAGTCGAGTAACACTTGTAAAAATTTGACCTTGTCTGTAAACCGGAATGCCTACTGCAAAGTGTTGTAATAATTTGCTGTTACTGGGACTGAGTTTATTTTGGCACTTTGGAGGATATACTGAATTGTTTGGAGTGCTATGTATCACTCGAAGGTCCTCTATGTGTCACCCATACTCCAATATGTAAGGAACTAATGAGTTGCGACGTTCTACACGAAATTTGAAGTTACCCCCTCAAACGATTTCGTTCCTTACCTTTGAATCAGCTTACGGATATTCTTGCTTTTTTGAAGTGAAGGAGGAAGCACCAACTTTCCTTATCCTAAATAAGGCGGAACAAAACTGCTGAGAACTAATTGAAAAGTAATTTAAATGACCAGTTCCACAATGTTAAGAGGAAATGGCCAAAACATGAGTAATAGTTTCGTCATAAAGATGAAATCCAAGTTGGTTATTTCATAATTAACATCACGGACAAATGGCAATTAACTCGCCACTGAAAACCAGGAAGCTCTGGACAGGTGGGTAATCCCATTATAGGATTCTTCTACAGTGGGCTTCCACGACTCACTCTAAAGACTGAATCCCATAGAGATCCCTTTGCTCTTAACTCATCAAGCTAACATCCAATAGTTAACAAATCTGAATTCAGTCAGCTGTTAAGATTTGTTATTTGAAAGGTATAAGAATATTATCAGAAACCTTTGCATAAATTCATGTTATATATTTAGAAAATAAATCAATGTCCCTTTATAAAACTGGGGTCCTTTACAAAAATATCATAAGCAAACTTACGTAAACCTCTCAAGTATTGTTTAACGGTAATTAAATTATGGTTATTCACACAATGAACAAAAGTTGCCAAATATCAGAGTAATTTTATCTTTTTAACTAAATGATGTGAAATTTTTGTTTACAACTCTTAGAACTGTAAATGAAAAATGGTTATAACATAAGATAGGGTGGTTGAATGCAACCGCTACGAAGTGATGGTTGTGATTTCTAACATTCATTTAGTGGCATCCACTATTTTAAGGAATGGTAAAGAACGTTATGTTTTCAAATATACTATCCGGAAAATAGAGGAATTATTTCAGACAAAAGGTTAAGGTGATATTTTGCTTGCTATCCACGCTTTAGGATGATCATCAGAGTGAAAAATTTGACTTGTTTAAATTATGTAGACAGCTACACTCTTCTTGGAGAGGCTATTTGAACTTCTGCTTTTCGATGGCGTTCTCTGAAGGTGATTTTGAGAAAGGGAAGAAGCTCTTCGTTCAAAGATGTGGACAGTGTCACACCGTTGAAAAAGGTGGTCCACACAAAGTAGGACCCAATCTAAATGGTTTGTTTGGACGGAAGACTGGTCAAGCCCCCGGGTATACCTACACTGCTGCCAACATTAGTAAAGGTAATCTCCAAAAGCTTTTGTTTGTTGTTATTTTTTACTTCACTTCAGTAGAAAGATTAAAGTGAATAAGTCATTGTTTAAGTTCACAGGAATCATAGTTCGCAGAGACAGATCAATGGATTCCCACAACATATAGAAATGGGGATTCATCAACGAAACAAACAGAAAGTTTTTTGAGTCTGAACCCTATCGATAGATGCGTTGCTAGCTTTCGCAAGCTTCAACAGCTACCACACAATCCATTATTCGTCACAGTCGTATCAGTTCAATAATCTCAAAGGGTGACTTGTTCGCATAAGGGGGTTCAGATTTTTCACTCGAGACATGGACAATTCTAAATCATTATCGAATTTTCCGTCACATAGCATCTTGTTATCAAAATCCATTATTTTTCACCACCACTAAAATACTACTTTCTTGCTAACCTTCCTAATTTTTACTCATTTATCCAAATTGTATCAACTTTGACTAATGCATATCTGTGATCGTTTTGACCTTAAATACGACTGCTCCCTGGGGTTATGTCTATGGAACTGAGTTCGCTATTCCTCGACATGTGGTGGAACAAGTGGGATGATATCTTTGGGCTTGATACGGTTCATCCAGAATGTTATGGTTCAGCGACCACTCGTTTCCTAGGATAGAAACTATAAGTGGTCCTGATATCTCAGCTTGAATATTTCCACTTTTATGTTGACATGGTTTCTTTCTCCTTTATTTCATTCCAAACGTAACTTCCGGTGTCTAAATTTTGCATGACTTTATTTTATTTAAACACCAAATGATTATGCGCCACATAAATCGTTCGGTTTGTGTGAAGGCTAGGATACTCCCCGGGTGCCCAAACCGAAGCAGATGGTTCTCCTAGGGGGCTACACCCAAGCCTTTGACCTAAACGTCTAATCCACAAGGCAGTGGAGCAACGTAAGGAGATGCAGTTCCATGGTAGCTGGTGACCAACAATAGGTTTGTACGCCATTTGTTCCCTCAGGATTCTGGAGCCTATCAGTTTGTAATCAGGGTTTTCCAACTCCCGTGTTCAACTCCGTATCCACCGACCCAGTTAAAGCGTCGGACATACGCTATTCGTCCTCTCAATTTTGTAAACAACACCACCGCGAGAAGGCAGTGAGTAGGACTTCCCTGACAGTGGTTGTATGCATGTGGACATGTGAGAGCATTTTGAGAGGGAAAATTGACTCTCCCCACTCTCGGCCGTACCAGGGCATGACTTCCTAATCATGATATAATATTTTCTTTGCCGAATTCTAATCTCCTGATTCCTCGTCTCTTTTTTCTCTTCCCAAATTTATTTCACTGGATTATACTCTTTAAATAACATCTACAAACCCTAATCTTCCCGATTACTGCTTATACTCTTACTACCTCTACCACCACGGGATTTGAATCGACAACCGCATCTCTGTGCTAATGTGGTATGGCAACTCGAACTGATGTACGTACGTACAAAGTTCTACGTTGTTACTGACTAACTGTTAAAACTGCCCTTCGATTGATGATGCCTAATTACTTGTATTTTATACACTCATTCGCTGGTCCAACGGATTTTATTCTTATGACTTCTAGTTACCAGTACATTATGTCCGTCTAGACTGTGTATAAAAGATGTAAGTGGGATTGAAAAATTACGTTGATTTAGGAAATTATTTACTAGTGGTAGCAAACTATTACGTACTATAACAATCTTCTGTTCACAAACCTGAACAAACATTTATCGTCAGTCTCCAAAGATTATCTGTGTTTTACGAATAACTGGTAATTTTCACTTATGCAAAATTGTGAGAGATTTTTTACTAACAATATTATTATCGCATAAACCATCAATACATTTGCTAATTCATTTAATACTTAATAAAGTAAGTCAAGTATTTAAGGTGTAAATATGCTTTTTGCTTCTTTATTTCATGAACCACTATTTCCACTTATCAATTCTTTCATTATTGCTTAGGCATTATATGGAATGAGCAGACTCTATTTGAATATTTGGAAAATCCAAAAAAGTATATTCCTGGTACAAAAATGGTGTTTGCTGGTTTAAAGAAGGAAGCTGATCGCAATGATATTATTTCCTACCTTAAAGAAGCAACAAAATAAGAATATTCTAAATATCTGACTCCTAGATTTAACTTCGTTGTAGCAGTTCTTTAATTAACTAAATGTGTATAGAAACATAAAACCTGAGCTTCCAAGTACGTGAAAATGAATACTCTTGGCTGTGTATTTCTGATCTTTTCTGAGGTCAATATACTATGATAATTCAGTTTCTGAGATTTTTGTAAAATTAATACTAGTGCAAACATATTAACATAATAATGAAATGTTTATCTAATTTCTTCCGTGTTTTCGGATACAATAAGCTTCAAATGTCCTTATTGCTATTATACTGTTTGCCAATAGTTTCCGTTTGTTTTCAGTCACTGCTCAAACTAATTCCCAGTGGAATAATAGCTTGGTGATTGAATTGATTGGAGCCATATAATCTCAGGTTCACATACTACTTATGTTTAGGTTGTCGGCGGTTGTGTTTCTCAGTTTAAACTTAAATAAGTTTTAGTTATGCTTATTCGCTTCACAATAAATTTCGAGTAAGAATATTTCATCTCATCGACCAAAATCAGCAGAAAAAGTGGTCGTCCTGACAAAACAACTGGTTGCAACAACAAGAGGGATATAAATCTGGATTCTGACATGCATCCTACCGAACTTAGTATGACAGCATATTTAATTCGTTTGCTTTTGCCATTATGAAACAAATTTAAATCTTGTTTGAAATAATAGCTCTATGTAATTCAGGTGAATGGACTTACCTTTAATTACAGTTTTAGGTAGCTTTTATATTTACACACACTTCTCACAATTTGAGTTGTACGTCCCCATTATTTACTATTGGTCACTCTCATTCATCTAATTCGAATATAATTGATATAAAGATGAGTTTCTAAAGTAGAATCTCTGTCGACAGTCAGATCAGTATGTACTTCGAATAGGACTTTCTGGTCGAATAGCCACTCGCAAAATACTTACCATATGTTCATGATGTGATTTCATTAAACCAATATGCCTCGTCATTTTTAACTCTACAACGAAATAAGATTGTTTTTTAACGATTTTTGTATATTCATAATCTCAGGTAATCTTAAAGTAATTCATTAGGATTTTAGACGGTTTAGTCTGTAGAAGTAATCATGATGGACAAAATAGAGTCTATACAGGTCTCTACGAGTCACAACCAACAACTGAGTTTGGTATGTGGGTATTTTTGAGTCTGTTTTATGTGTTCTCAGGAAATAGCCCATGCGTTGAGGAGTAATTCTTAAACAGAAGTGTGAATTGAACTGGAAAATCCAAAGCTAAACGTATATACTTTCCTAACAGAGCGATCAGTTAAATTACCTACTTATTAGCTTATCAAAGCATTCAGCAAATTTTGGAATTGTTTCTAGAATAGACCTACTGTCTTTCTAAACTCACATAGATGATCGATTGAAGATATAAATAAATGAATATCAAAGAATCTAAATTGGATAAAGGTATTACGATGTACTGAAGGACTTGGATTTCTGATCTAACCTTCGTCGATTCTACTGCACAGAAAGAATTTTAACTGGTTTAGTAAATAAGCACTTTCGTCTAGATTTTAACGAGTAGTTTCACAGTATTTGGGCGCCGAGTTAATGTGTGACATTGAAGAGGAAAAATGTATTTGTAAAATCTCAGCAAAAGAAGTTGAAGTAAATCCAACTTTTCGCCTACCAATCTGGTCCAAGCTTTTTCAAGGAAAATATAATCAAACGTCAAAATTACCAAATATAAATAGGTACATAGTTCTCTGGTTTACCAGAGAAAAGCTTGGACCAGATTGCCAAGCAAAACGTTGGATTTGCTTCAAATTCTTTCGCTGAGATTTTATAAATACATTCTTCATCTTTAACTGGTTTGATATTTTGAAAAATAACGTGTCGCCAAGCTTTAAAGACATTTCAAGTGCTTGCTGCTATGGAGCCCTACTTGGTTGAAATTACCCTTTTAACACTTAGTGGCTTTTGTTGTACCTCTAGCAAATATCAGTTGGTGGAAAAATTGCTCAACTAAATAGGAATATCTAATTATGTGTGTAGTTTCAAAATAATCAACCTAGACATTTAAACTAGCTTAAATCAATTACACCAATTTATCTATATTTAACCGTACGACTAAATAAGTTAAACCTCATACAATCCGTGAATGATGCGGATCAAATATCGGGATGAAAAGGTTTCAAAAGGATTGCGATGATCAAATAATCAGACGTTATTTCATCTGTTACTTAACATAAGTCATGTTAGTAGAGAACAAAGTACGGTTGTAACCTTTTGAAAATATTGGTTTCCTCCTACTGTTGGGATTTTATATAGTCTCAATCTAGAAAAGGGCTATCGAATGGTAGTTAAGTGATGTCGAATATGTATTCGAACAGCTATATTTTTACGTTTCTCAGTCAGTCAGTAACAACGTAGAACTTCGTACGTATGTACATCAGTTCGAGTTGCCACACCACATTAGCACAGAGATGCAGTTGTCGATTCAAATCCCGTAGTGGTAGAGGTAGCAAGAGTATAAGCAGTAATCGGGAAGATTAGGGTTTGTAGATGTTATTTAAAGAGTATAATCCAGTGAAATAAATTTGGAAAGAGGAAAAAAGCGACATAAAGAATTCAGAAGATTAGAATTTGGGAGAACACAAAGGGTGGATGCACCTGCACCATTGCAAACGATTTTGAGCCATGTCATTCAAGGTCTCTAACCATCGGTTACTATCATCTCGCGGTCCCCAACCAGGTAGTCTACACATACCAATATGACTCAGTCTATTTTCAGTGACTTCATGGACCTGTGCCATGTTTTGGTCTGGCCGTCACTAGCTTTCTTCCAATCTACTATACAACAAAACATCGCACATCGATGCAGTCGGTGGTTGGGCATACGTAACACATGTCCCAGCCATCTCAACTGATGAAGTTTCACTATTTCATCAATTGATTTGCCATCCTTACCGAGTACCCGTTTTCTAACAACTGAGTTACTTACTCGGTGGTCTTAGGATATACGAGCAATGTTTCGAAGACACCTATGATCAAATACTAGTAACCTACGGTTGTCGATGCAACCCAATCCTGAAGCAACATTTTGCATTTCGAGGGAGAGAATCGCATCCCGAACATACCTGCATTATTGCTTAGAGTGGTCAGAAGACTCTGCATTTTGTCAGCGTCTTCACCAAATAAAACTATGTCATCTGCATATTCTAAGTCAACAAGTGAACCTCCCGGTAGAAGTTCAACCCCTGTAAATTTAGATGAGGAGAGTGTTATCTCTAAAAGTACGTCGACCACAAAGTTGAACAAGAATGGGGAGAGTGGACAGCCCTGACGAACACCACTTGAGGTAATCAATTCTGATGACAGTTCGCCATAAGCTCTTACTCTACCAGTTGTGTTCGAGTAGAGAGCCTGTATAAGGTTAATGTACTTCTTTGGTACTCCTTTCAGTGACAAACACTGCCATAGAACCTTACGAGTCAAATGCCGCCTTAAGGTCGAGAAATACTACCATTGTGGGGCGTCTGAACGTGTGTCTGTGTTCTAGAACCTGACGTAGTGTGAATATCTGATCTATACAACCACGTCCAGGTCGAAAACCGGCCTGGTTTTCTCTAGTCTGCTCTTCACGAGCTTTGATTAGGCGTCGAAGTATTATTGAAGCTAATATTTTAGACACTATATTAGTCAAACTGATTCCTCTGTGATTGTCACAAGAGGACTTTTGTCCTTTCTTATAGACTGGCACAATCAGTGATTGAGACCAGTCAGATGGGATTACGTCCAGTTCCCAAATTCTACCTATGACCTCGGTTAATCTCATTGCTAATACTGGACCACCATCCTTGAAAATCTCAGGAGTAAACCTGTCAGGGCCTGCTGCTCTCCCTCGTTTCAGATTTCCTATGGCTTTTTCAACTTCGTAAAGGGACGGAGGACCTACACTAACTTGCCATTCAGGTTGACTGGAGATCGTGGAAAACTGAAGTGTGGCTGAAGGCCAGTTGAAATGATCCCCAAAGTGTTCTGCCCATCGATCCAATCTCCTGGATTGAGAATGTATAATATGTCCATCTTTCTCTGAGAGTGTTTCGCGAACAGTCGGTTTCATTAACAAGTCTGAACAATTGTCTGCTATTACCTATTGCCGCTGCCTTTTCCATCTCTCTTGCTTTCACTACCCACCACTGTTCGCGATCATTGCGTAGACTTCTTGTCAGCTTGCGCTTAAGCTGGTCGCCATTATCTGTTCTTTGAGCCACGACACCATAAGATCCACCTAGGTGTCTTTCCCTATCGCTAAGTTTACCTACTTGAGCATTAAAGTCACCGGCCACTATTACTACATCCGAGCGCCTAGCTTTTCGGAGAAGGTCCGAAAGCTTTCTGTAAAACTCATCTTTTACATCATCTGAGCTGCAGTCAGTGGGAGAATAGGCAGAGACGACGAAGAGGCAACGACGAGTGTCCCTATCTTTCCGGATTCTTACTGTTCCGTTCAGTCGGACAGCGCACAAACGACTGTCTACTGGGATCCACTCTAAGAGAGCTAGTTCTGCCCTAGGACTCAATGCTATACCTACGCCGGCGAGGCCACGGGAAGCAGAATCAGGGCTTCCAGATACACGAAGCGTAAATCGAGTCGGTTCTTTATTTTGGCATGGTGAGGTCAAATGAATGACGCTACTTGGATCCTGTATGCGCGTTTCGGAGACGCAGCACACATCGATGGCGCGAGATTCTAAAGTTTTAGCTAAGGAAGCCTGCTGTCCTATTTGGCAAAGTGTTCGTACGTTAAAAGCTCCTACGTGTAGTTTAGAGCGTGGTTTCAGGAGACCAGGAATGGCGTTCCACGTACTCAAATCGTTTGCCCTAGCGGTGCGAGGTGATAAAGAGACGTGAGGAGGGTTAGTCATGGAGATAAGAGAGGTATTAGGAGGTGTAGGAAGGATTTGAATGTGACCACCTTGGTCTCTTGTGCTGTTACGGGTATGAGGGCTGATGTCACTTCCCGGC